AAAACTTACAGGGGAAGGTGGCACTCACGCAGTGTCTCCAGCTTTGCCTGGCAGTCCTGGGCTGCCTCTGGGCTCAGGCTCGCCATGCAGTGGAAGGATCCCAGCTCCCGGATCTCCAGAGCTCCCCAGCACCATGCACAGATGATTTCTCCGGCTCGCGAGCTTTGCAGGTTTTGGCATCTGCAGTGATGGTCGAGCAAAGAGCTGGTGCCTTAGCAGAGGTTTGCTGGCACTCCCAGCAGTCCTGCCAACCGTGGGGAGGGGGACGGGACTGGCGCAGCCCCACGCAGAGATGCTAAAAGGCCCTGAGCTGGTGGGGGTTGGCAGGACTCATGAGTGTGAGACGTGTGCGTGCACGGAGCAGGGACCAGCACCCCAACACTCGGCTGTATTTTAGGTGCCGCTGTTTCTGCCTCTGAAGGGGGGTGCCCAGCCTAACCCACTTGGGGAGGCCCCCCAAAGTGCCTTGCTTTGGGAACTTACAACCTGTCTCTTCCAGGATATTTTATTAAGAAAGTTATACAAATGTTTAAAAATATGCTTATAATAATTAATAAAATGGAAAAGCTTTATTTAAAGCCAGAGGAGACTGTCCTTATTCCTGAACCACCCCTCTAGGGCTGTGCTGGAGGGGTAGGGCTGGGGATCCCCACTCCCACCGTGACTGGGGGGTGTCACATCCTAAAACCACCCAGCAGGAACACAAGCCAGCAGCCGAATGACTGGGATGATTTTATTAAAAGGGGTGTCCCAAGGAAGCAGCAAGAGGCACCTGCAGCAGCAGCTTCCCCTCGGCACAGCCACACTGACAGCTTGGGGGCTGCTCTGACCCCATCCCTGAAGCACTGCACAGGAGGCGGGGCAGGGGGCGGGGGCAGCAGGACCCCCGTTATCCCCAGAAGGCACTGTGTGAAGAGGGACTTGGTGCAGGGCAGCTCTGGGCAGGAGGGCAGGGGTGCCTGTCCCCAGCATGTCCCCTTCCCCAGCAGGTCACTGGACCATTCCCGTTCCAACCAGAATGAACACCCCAAAAAGTAGGGGGGGGGAGGAAATGCCCAGCACATCCCCACTGTCATCACCCAGCCAAAGCTCCCTGAGGGCTGGGGGACAGCCACCAGCCAAGGATGGTGGCAGTGGCATCGTGGCAGAGCGCTGGCCATGGGGGTCCCCTTCCGCAGCGTCTCCCCACCTGAGTCCATCCAACACCGAGGGTCCCCGCAGCAAGTCCCTGGGGTGCTGTGTCCTGCACAGCATGAGGACAAGGACAGACCCAGCAGAAGTGACAGCAGCTATTCCAGACAAAGTAGCAGGAGGTGTGAAGCACATCGCCCACCATCCTGGGGGTTGCCTAGCCCCGACCGAGCAGGGGGTACACCACAAAGTAGCCCAGTGTGGAGCCTGCAATGGCCCCGAGGAAGATCCAGGCGTTGTAGGACATGACAGCCAGCATCACCATGTAGCCCAGCACCACCTGCACCACGTGGAACAGCGTCTGGCTGACATGGTACCGAAACCACCTGTGGAAGAAGATGGGAAACCCCATCAGGGAGGGGCTGGGGCAGCCAGCATCTCCACCCCTGCCAGCATCCGGGAGCAGCCAGAGATGGGTTTGGGGAGTCGGGAGAGAAATGGGGGCTGCAAACAGCAGCGCAGGGGGAAATCCTGCTCCAAAGGAATGGGGAGGATATTATTAAGAGGCTGGCAGTAAAAGCAGCCTCAGGCATGGTCTGGGATTAAATACAAGAGGTAAAACCAAGGGCTTGGCTCCAATGGCTTGTACTGGGAAGGAAACCCCGGGGCCAGCCTTGCTGGGGTGCCTGAGCAGCTGCTTGTGCCCATCCCCAAACCACGAGGACCCTCCTGCACCCACGCTGGCTCCTGGGGGACTGGGAGCATTTAAGACAGCAGAAAAACACCCAGGACATCTCCCAGAGTACCTGGAGGGGCCGGGATGCCCCCGGGGCCACCTCCTGAGGCTGTTTCCTGGGAGCCTATGAACTC